GTTTTGCTCTCAGGTTGCCCAGTGCATCGGGACCCCCCCGGGGGAATCCATACACTGGCTTTTCGGAGCCAACTGATACTGGAGAGGGCACCGGCAAATCCTGCTTACACATTTTGTTTTTGAATCTGTCTTGTTTTATCAGACTGACCAACATCGTTGAGATATTTTTGAACTGAGTGCTGCGGCTGTATGAATTTTACGCATACACCATTGGCCCAAAGAGCCAAGAAAGTGGACCATCTGTACTAAATCCTCCATGTGAAATCTTTTGGTGACAGCCTTTTCTGTGCTTTCATGTTGCAGAAACATGTTCGGGGACAGTCTCTCCCATCGTCTTGGGCAGTGACCTTTGTCAGATGACTGGGAGAGGTCAACAGAGGTTAAAGTAACGGGCGAGCTGAGAGAGGGGCCCCCCATCTAGTCATGCAGAAAGGAGCTGCCAGTGAGTTTTACAGACACACACACACACACACACACATACACACTCACACTCAGGGTCACTCTCCAACCAACAGGAACAGCACTTCCTTGCTCCTCACCAGCCCGACCTGGGCTATAGAGAGGCGCAGACCCATGCAGAAATACAAACGTGATTGTAGCTTTTCAAACACAAACACACACTCATCAACTGGTTCTGAGCGATCCCTCCTCCCTCTTCTTCTCTCCTTGTTACGCACTCTCCTCCTAGGTCCCTCTCATTCAGTTATAATCGCACGCAGTCGGGCTTCAGTGCACAGACTACTGTGATGAGCTATGACAAGGCAAGAGGCAGGAGGCAAGCAGAGTAAGAATGGGAGAGGAGGATGGAGTGACAAAATGAAAAGAGCACAGTGGTAGAAACAATTAGCACTTCTTACTACGAGCACTGAGATGAATTGGTGCATTTGTGTCTGACATACTTAGAATGGTATTTCATTGTACCGGATAAAGCGTCCTCTGCAGTCCAGAGATGATCTTCCATTAACGTTTCATTAAATACAATTTAAATGTTAGTCATACCATTTGGCCACACCTCGCATCTTGACAGTCTGCCGTCATGTCTGAGCAGATAGCCACCAGGGATTGTGGGTACTGAGCAGTGGTGTGACTCTCTCTAGCAGCTCTGAAACACGAGACAGCCTGCCGGACATAACAGGCCTCTTTTCTTCGATGAAGACACACACAGTCGGTGTCTCTGCATCACACTTTTGCTGATGTATGGCAATGCCTCAGAGATTTCTTTACTATTTGGTGGACATTCAAAAATGAACAAATAGGGTCCTGGTTTTTCATGTGAAATCCTGTTTACATCAAAAATATGTAGCTCTGCCTTTTAACTTATGTTTTTGTATTGAGTATGATTCAGGTTTACATCATTAAAAATGTAAATATTAAGTGTTGTGGCACTGGGGTCAAAGGGCAGCACTGATAAGGTGAAGTTACTTTCAACTCAGTCCAGTGCCCCACCCCCCGGTATCCCCGGTAACTATATATATCCATCTTACCAGAAATTGTAAATATTTCCCATAAATTTCCTATATTCATGCATGGAAGAGTCAAGAAATAGGATTTCCAACCCCCCTGAAAGTGGACCATACCATTTCTTAACCTTGATGTTAGCTGAATGTCTCTCTGCCTGCCTCATTCCCATCAGTGGCTCATGTCCTCAAGTCTCTGCTCCCATGTGTTGAGCAAATTCAGACACTGTAGGTAAATGTAAGTATAGCAGAAGCTAGCTATCTAGCTTATTTTATATCTTTTATTTTCTAATCTTCAGAGTTTCGGAATTAGCTTGTGTCAAGTATCGACAGATGAATGCTAATGTTAGCAAGTCTCTAACTTTTGCCTTAAGTGACAGTTTAGCTAACTTATGTTAGCTGGTTGCCCTTTCATTTCCAATGTTGGCTTATCATTTCATTACCAAAATAAAATGTTATATAATCGACAGATGAATGGATTAGTTGTTGTACAGATATATTTGACATCAAAATACAACTTAATTCATAGTCTTTTGTGTGGCTGTGGTGGTTTAATTAGTCTTTTTCCTTTTTGATATTCGCTTTTATAATATACACCCCCTTTGTTTTCACTCAGGAATTCAGGAGTTTTACCTGATTGGGTAAATGAACAATATTAAAATACATGTGTGCTGAAGGCTAAGTAATTGTTTTAGCAGTGGTAAGAAGTAATTAGGTACATTTATTCTAAGTGGCAAGTACAATTTTTAGGTACTTGTACTTTACTTGAGTCCATTTCCATTGTATGCTACTTTATACTTCCACTCCTCTACATTTCAGAGAGAAATATTGTACTTTCTACTCCACTACGTTATACGGCTTTTTTAAACAAGCAAGATACTGTAAGGACTGTAACACTTTAGTTCACTGAAACATGTGCCTTCGCTACACTGGGTTCCCTTTTGCCCTGAAGAAAAAGTTGACCCCCCCCCCCCCCGATTGTCATTGTATAATTCACACTCTGACTCAGTCAGTGCAGGAAGGGAATTTTCATTTGTAGAAAAAATAACATCACTCTAAGGTTCATCCTCTGACAATTCATGATGTATTATTTTAGATCAGACTCTGGTTAAACCACAATTTGGATCCAAGTTAACTTGTCCAAGTCAAGGATATTAAGTTTGTGACATAACGAGGGTGAAACGATTCCCTGCAGGGATCAATAAAATATCAAATTATTATTTTTGGTCTTGGGAAAATCATGAGGTTCCAAACATCACAGCTTTACACAGTGGAGCTTTTCAGACTGATTTGTGATGTTTTATATGCCAAGATTATGAATCGCTTTAAATTATCACAAGAACTGCAAGTTCAGTAGAAGAACATATCCCAAAAGAAAATATGTGGTCCAGGGGGCCATACAGTATTTTGCTACCGCAGTATTGTTTCCTTAAGGTTTTTTTTTCTGTTTCAAAGAGAAACAAAATCAGACTACCTCATATCTTGCTGACTGTTGGGTATACCATAATGCACAGTTTAGGTTCACCAGTTAGAGAAAAATATTTAGATTTGGAATCTGACACTGATTTTATTTACTTCCAGTTTTATATCAGTTAAAATTCTGGATCCTCGTGCTGATTACTTGCCTCTTTCAGCAGATGATGTGACATTTAAGACATGTTATCAAAGAAACAGGAAATCCAGAAAGCAGATTGTCATGTTTCCTTTTTAAGGACTGGCTTGGAGCATTCATTCACTCCAGAGTCTGAGTTTTATTTCCAAAGCTCAAACCCAAATCTTCAGTAATATCCCTGACTTGAAGCTAGTCCGTAAGAAATGAGACTTGGCTTGGCTTCACAGGAGTAGGATCACAGCTTTCCATTGTATATACTTTAAATTATGCTGAGGCTGCTGGTGCATCGGCCTGTGGCTGTGGTACAACAGCAGAGTGGCCATCGTTCAGGAAGAGAGGCTGAGCATCTAGACGCTGTCTCACACAGAAAGGGACGAGCCTCTCCTTCTGTCTGCATCTGTCAGCCACTTCCTGCACACACCAAAATATTTAAGTTTCTCAACAAGGAACAAAATTAGTCTCATATTGTTCTTCTGATAAAGTATTTTTCGTAGTTTATAAATAAGGCATATTCACACTGAAACTTAGAAGGTGATGAGCCTCACCTCCTGCTATGTAACTGACGTACGCATGTATGTGTGAGGTGGCCGCTCAGATTAAACACTAATGGATCAGCATATTTCCAAACATTTTCTCAAGGAGGAACAAAATTAGTTTCATGTCATGTGACCATAATTTGCAGTTTATATCCAGTTATTTTAGCTGTATAGAAATGTTTAGATTTTGAAATGGACTCCCACCATTTTATTTATTTATTTATTTTTTTACAATTTTCCCTGACCTACTGACATTATTGAGATTTTTACGGTCTTGTTCCTTATGATTAAAGTATTCAGCTGACAGTAATGGATTTTGTAAGCAATGTTGAATTTATGTATATTTTTATACAATTAATACAAACTGCTTTGCTCCAAATTCAAGATACAGTGTATTTAAGTTCTGAGGCCTGAGTGTCGGCCTCCGAGCAATTAGGGCCCATTGGATCAGCAAGCATGTTGTCAGATTGATATCAGTCAGCCTTTACTAAGACTAAGTGTTTAGGTTTTTACTCTGATTTAAGATTGTACAACTTTTGATATTATATATCTGTTCAATCAAAAAGGCTTCTCATATTCATACATAGAATGACGGTACTGTGAGAACTAATTTTTGGATTTATAACCTGACACTGTGCCTATTATCTGCAAATTCATGTCATAATAAACCACTGAACAAAGTTCACCTCAAAATACTGAATCAATCCTGTAACATATTTCTTGAATGAAGATGTTTTAATTACAGTTTCAGTAAATGGTGTAATGAGCCTATAGGCAAACGTGGAATAAAGTAAGAATAGTAGGATACTCAGAAAAAAATAGACATGCGTGAAACAGAATAAAATGTTAATTACATTCATTTAAATACATAGATAATTTCAGTAATTCAAAATTCATTATGATACAGGAAATGCATGCAAATAGCTAGGCTATAGTAATTTCTTTGGTGGCTTTAGGCTGCTGGAAATGCTGCTGTTGATGATGATGTTGATGATGATGATAATAATAATAATAATAATAATAATAATAATAATAATAATAATAATAATAATATAATAATTAATAAAATACCATGTAAACAATAAAATGTAGAGACTGATACTGTTTTAGGCCAGCCTCAGGCTATCATTAGCTTAGCCTGCTATTTTCTAAAAACGGCTTTGTGTAAGTTTAGTGTCAGGCCCCTTAAAAAACCATAACTAATTGAAAAATAAATAATACCGAATCAGCTTATTTTTATGTGATATGTAACTACTCCTCTGTCGTTGTACTTGCAATCTGCATAAACAGTTAAGGCCGCAGGTCCGGCCCCACCATCTAAACACCTTAAATGCTTGAAACTTGGCAACAGACCACCAAAAAGTGTCTCTTTCACGTGGAGAAGTATTAAAACCATCATACGTCCCCGTCATACAGGCTGAAGTACTTGCTGGCGTTTGAGAAGCAGAGGTAAGGCGTGCTACTCCCCGGGTACACCACGGGCAGAGGCATGGGCAGCAGGCATCTCCCCAGCAGGTTGCTCTCTTTGTACAAGGCCGGGAGCTGCCCCACCACCACGGGCTTTCCAGTCTCCGGGAAATCGGTAACGGGTCCGTCGATTTCGGTCGAGATTTGCCGTTTCAATTTATTCCTGCGGTTCTGAAACCATATTTTCACTTGGGTCTCCGTCAGCTGGAGAGAGCTGGCGAGGCAGGCGCGCTCTGCGCTGCTCAGATAGCGTTTCATGTCGAAGGTAGACTCCAACTGGAAAATCTGTCTCTTGGAAAAAATAGTGCGCGTTTTCTTTTTCGTTATCATTTTGCTCTTCTTGGCCGGGCTGCCTCCTTTGTGGGCGTCCGTGGCCGTGGTGGTGGAGCCACTGTCGTCGCAGCTGCTGTCCCCGCTCTCGAAGCGCACCTCCGTCGCTTTCCTCGGGTCTCCGCGGCTGATGATGACCGATTCCGTCGCTCCGGTGCAGTCTGTGCTCAACTCTGCAACAAAATCACACTTCATTTAACCCTCTGTGGTTGAGTCTCAAACTGCGCTGCTGCCAATTGACCTTAAACTGTAGCCTAATTCCATCAGATGCGAGCTGTGCGTAAAGGTGAACACAGATGACAGAAGGTCTCCATTATACACAGCCCACAGATACAGATTCACCAAAACCCTCTTACCATTTTCGTGAAGCCTGCTGCCCGGGTCCTGCCTCTGCTGGGCTCCGTGCTCCTCGTGGTGACTCTGGAAACCGTCTTTACGCATCGCCGTGGCCGAGTCATCCTGCAGTCCGGTGGGAAGACGACTGTCACAGTTCCTCCCGCTTGTCTTGAGGTTGAGGATGTTGTCAATAGTGAATTTCAGAGAGGCGGCGGGTCGACATGGTGCGTCCACTTTGTTCATATTCTCCAAGGCGTAAGTCCTCTTGTTTACTTCCGCGACTCTACTGGACGTTACACTCTAAACCGGGATGTTAATCTCACTAACGTCTCAAAGCTCCACGAACCATAGCAGCAGCCGCTGAGCAGACACTACTGGGCTGGCGATGCTCTGCCTGCACCGCTACTGCTGACACCGGATGGAGCGCTCTGTGTCCTCTCTGATTGGTCCACAGGAGCGTACACCGAGAGCCAATAACAGCGAGGAGATGGGAGGCGAATGGAGGGCAGGAGGGTGTTGTCGTGCCCTCCCTCTCCCCCACTAGCCAACACTCCGCCCCTCCGCCCCAGCCCCCACCCCTCTCATTCTCATACATCTGCTGCAGGAAGACCCGGGGTCCGGAGCCCTGCAGGGGACCCCCAGGAAAATAAAGAATATTTTAATTTCAGTGTTATTTCACACCATATACAATATGTGCTCAGTGAGACCGTGCACACAGCTGATGGTGGTGTTGATCTTAGCCTGCTCTGATCTGGCACTTCTTAATTCGACTCAGAGTTGGGGGTCCCGAACTTGATAAAAGTTATTCAACCGATTTGCAAAATGAGAGTGACGCGGATTGTTATTATTGCAATTTCATTGTGTGTGCATCTGTGTAATTGCAGCATAATATTTCTTAAAATCACACATCATTTAGCATTGGAGTTATAGTTTTTTTCTGAGTTGGGCGCACTACTTTCTTTTGTAAATATAAATGTACGAAAATATAGCCCAACAAATAGGTTATTTTTTTACATTATTATTTTTGTTATACGAGTTATTTATTGCATTTCAAAAATTGCATTTAAAATTGAACCCTAGTAGATTTTCTGGAAGAAATGTGAAACTTTACAGCTTTATCTCGGTCTTGTGGTTTTGCAGATGACATTTTAACCCATATATTTTCTTTTTCTTATTCAGCATTTAGTTACCTCCCCATCTCTCTTTGTGATGCTTTGTAATTTTAATCCACAACATCAGGATGGAAACTAGCAATTTTGCATGAATAAAGTTCATGCATTTATGGACGTGCTAAAATTCATAAACACATGTTCACATATGGCGTTTTGACTTTGTCTCCTATTTGCCATTTGGATGAAGTTAAGTGTCTAACTTTCTCCAGCTTATGCAGCAACACAACTCGCTGACTGGTGCATTGGTTAAATAAAGTCTGCAAACAGCAGGTTGGTTAAATTTATTTATTTCATCTCTGAAAACTGATTGGTAAAGCCTCGTTTTTGTCTGTCAGTGGTGGACAAAACATATTTCTGTCCTTTTGATAAATAACTTTTAAGAACTATCCAGATAGTTGTATTCTGAGAGAGGAGCTACTTCTCACACAGCCCTACTGTCGGCAGGAGTGTATAAAGGTTAACTTCGTCGTTTCCGAAGTCACAGGTTCCTGCTCTGAGCTTAGTTCTTTGGTTGTGTCGCAGAACATATGGATTCACTTCATTCACTATAAACACCTCTCTGTGTAACCCCGTCCGTTTGTGATTGACAGAAATGAAGACACATTTGAGGTCATGATGTGTGTTAATAAACAACAGCAAAACAGACAGAATTGTGCTTGTTTTTTTTTTTTATTTATTTATCTGTTTATGTGAAAAAGTGACAAAGTTGGAAAAATCTGTGGCTTTAAATATAAAAGTTTGCAAAAATATGTGTGTATTCAAACATACAGTACATGGACACCCCCGGCCCCTGGCCTGCCCACGCTTGACTGTTATTATAGTCTATACAGTGGAAGAGACAGAGACTCTTGAAGAGGCTTGTGAACAGAAATATCAGGATGATTCATTACTTTGTGTTATATTCAGGGTCTTTGCAGCTCTTTGGATGTTGTGGGTTATTGCACGATTCGGTACTCACAGGGTGAACTGAAGTCAACAAACAGTTTGATACATGAGTCTTGAACAGTCTTTACACCAAGCCGGTCATCTGCGATCTTAACATGCTCATGGAGTGAGCAAACGAGGACAGAGGGTAGCTGATGGAGCTGGAGAAGCCCGCAACAGGTGGAGAAACTGGATGTCCTGTCAGGTTGAAACCCAGCGCTGCGGTGGGCGCGGGTCCCTCGTGATACAAGATGGGGACCCTGACAATCCGCTGGGTCGAGTTTGGGATGTGAGCAGCCTCTAGATCCGCCGCCAGCTGCCTCTTCCATTTGTTCCTCCGGTTCTGAAACCAGATTTTGACCTGAGTCTCTGTCAGGTGGAGAGACGCTGCCAGCCCCGCTCTCTCCGAGCTGCTCAGATACCGCTTCACATCAAAAGTTGACTCCAGTTGAAACACCTGACTGCGGCTGAACACGGTCCGGGTCTTCTTCTTCCGGGTGGAGCTCGGGTCAGATGTCGTGTCTTGCTCCGGCCGCGTGTCAAAAGCGTGCTGCACGTCCTCGTTGTCATCCGTCAGGTTGCTGTCCCCCGTTTTCCGGTCGGTCTCGTCGCTGCCCTCCGTTATCGGCTCGGACACGGCGGGTGAACCTCTGTCGCTGGTCGTTACGGAGCAGCAGTGATCCTCTGAGTTTGTATTGTCCCTTGGAGCTGAAAGGAAAACCGAAAACACCAATCAGAAAAAAAAAACATACAAAAATATTTTCACATCTTTTTTCACACATCTTGGCAGTTTCAGTGTTGAAGCATGGCGGAATAAACAGTCCGCACCAGAGGAAATTAAGTTGGAAGAGATAACACGTCAAATTGTTGACGTTTTAATCTACTTAGAGAAATGTAATCATTTTTTAATAAAGCTGGATTTAAATCCTATTTAAAATAGTTTTGTGTTTTGCAGTTCATTTGTTACCAGAAAGTTGGGCTGCGCATGGGCAAAATTAAAACGTTTTGATTGGATTGTATAACACATGATCCATGAGGAAGTTGTGTCAGGCTCGATTGTGATACAGACACGAGCACAATGAACAGTCTTTCACAGGAAATCCAACAAGACCTCCGCAGTTTCTAACCCAATAATAACATCCTACAAGTTAATGCCGATATTCTGTGTGGACATTGCTGTTGACCCGGCTCTTCCATCACATCATCATTTTGGATTTAAAAAAAAATCTATCTAAATAGGAGTCAAGAGGGAAGCACTTTGTTTACATGTGAAGGCGCATGTGAGTGGCACAAATGGCACTGACTGTGCGTAAAAGCGTCATGTTGACGTACAGTGCTACTGCGACTCTGTTTTGGTTTGTATTCTGGGCATTTGTGCGTAATCCACGTGCGCAATGTTGAGAGTGGGTTACAGATTTCTTGATGAGAAACATCAATGAAACGTCCTCTGCTTTCATGCAGTAGACTGGTCGGACATCATGAAATCGTACATGTGTTTTACAGGTCGACGCGATTCTTCAGCCTGTCAAAAAATCGCATTACAAACGCAGTCAAGTCAGGCAGTGAATGAGTTTGGGAAGCTCGGTGAGTTCGGGGGGGGGGGGGCGAATGGAGAGAGGAGCCACGGCTGTAAGAATCAGGCTCCACACTCGACTCGCTCCGAGTTTATTTAATGAAGCCAGAAGTAACGTGCGACGTGCCCGCTTTCTATACTCCACGTGCTTCTAATAAAGCCACCTTGATAAATTCACATCGATAAATAAATTACCTCATGGTGTCTGCTGACATAACAATTAGTGATGCATGGTGGTAAAAAAAAAAGCTGCGTAAATGTGCTCTACCCCCAGAGGCCTTAAGCAAAAATATGATCAAGAAATGATTCTGACACACCATGAATTTTTCAGTTGTTTTTCTATCAAATAATATGTACCAATAGTTCGTTAATAAAAGCGCGGCACTCTGTTTGCACCATTCTATGAAACGTCTTACAGTATTGTACCGACAAAAGATACAACAATCTGTCCATGCGTTCTGTGTATTAAGTTGCAGTAAGGCTCAGTTTATTGCATGACATATTTCGCGCATGGGGGGGGAATAATCCCAGATTTCCAGAAAGGATCGAAGCTCCGGGGTACTCACTGTGCGCTGTTTCCAAAGCTCTGAAGTTCAAGGCAGCCCCCCCGCGGTACCACTGCAGCGGCGAGTCCCTGTATGGAGACCGAGCTGTGGAGCTGGAGCCATGGGGCGTTGGGGCGACCGTGTCGAAGTGATGTGCGTTCGCGACTCTGCCAGAAGACACCGTGTCCACACCAGCCTCCCCTCTACTGCTGTCCGACAGCGAGTCCTGCCCGTTCCGCTCCTTGCCCAGGAGGTTCTCGATGAAAAACGACGACGCCCTCGATGAAGTGGGAGTCTGTGTTTCGGTCAGCTTCTCCTGCATCTTTTCCTGACTTCACGGTGCTTTTTTTTTCACGAAAACAGAGCTGGTCCTGTCTTGATTGTGCGTTCAGTCGACTGAAAGTCCAAGCAGTCTTTTCAAGCCTCGCTGCTGTTGGGCTGTGATCAGATGAGGAGTCATGGCAGAGACGGGACGGGGATCTCCTCGGTGCTAGCGGGAGGAGAGGGAGACGGGGAGACAGGGAGACGGAAGCAGTAGTACAGTGAAACGTCAAGTCTAACGCTGAACGAGCCGGGGGCATCCAGCGATTGGACGAGCACAATAGCAAATGGGGTTTTCCAAGGAAAGGAGACTGTCTCTCTGCGTCAGCTGCCGCCGTGTGTGTGTGTGTGTGTGTGTGTGTGTGTGTGTGTGTGTGTGTGTGTGTGTGTGTGTGTTCACGTGCAGGGCCGTCCCCTCGAGGCCATGCAGCCAGAAGAAAACCTCTGTTCTTGGTACAGCACTCTTTATTTGGGTCAATTAGAGTGCAAATCAAAATAAAGATCAGCCAGGGCAGCAGCCATCCCTGGGGTCGAGACCCCCCCACCCCCTCCCCCTGCCCCGTCCACTCTGACATAGGAAGCACTTACGGTCAGTTATTACACTGGCAGCGAACGACAGGAGCCTGTCAATTTTTAAGGGTTCGTGTGTGTGTGTGTGTGTGTGTGTGTGTGTGTGTGTGTGCGTGTGTGTGCGTGTGTGTGCGTGCGTGCGTTCGTGCGTGCATGTGTGTGTGTATGTTAATCCTGATACCATTACATGGATACAATCAAAAATTACCCGTGTTTTCATCATTCCATGGACCTGAGAAGATAATACACAAAGTGAGGATAGATTTGACATCAGGTGGAAGACGGTGACGTTTCAGTCTTTAGTGCGTGTGTGTGTGTTTGTGTGTGTGTTTTCAGTACAGCACCCTACAGACCTACACATTAGGCCTAGTCCATATAACAGTACATCAGCGTTGGTTCAGAGTGGCATGATGTTATTGACCCCAGAGTTATAAGGTTTGAGCACGTGCGTACCGAAGCATGCAAAATGGCACGTGAAACGCTGCGTCCCGAAAATGCGGCCGCTGTCAAAGGTTATCCAAACTTTGCGTAATGGTTGATAATAGGCCTGTTTATCTGTAGCTTCTGCTACTGCGTTCTTTAATCAGCTCCAGCTAAACACGCTCTCCTTTATTTTAAGATTTACTTGAGCTGTTGACATTTTATCAGGCCCATTCCTCAGTAGGTTGTATGATGTTTCATCCCGGGGTTCTTTGCAAAAATTAATGTTACGGCAAAACAAAACAAACAAAAAAAAAAACATGTTTGTTTTAATACTTCTTCATCTTGTTTTTCTTTTCCCCTTAAATTGGTATTTATAAACTCGACATTTCAATTTGACTTGGAGCAACAGGCCTTTGGTTCCTCAGAATTTCCTCAGTAAACAGCAAACAGCATCATTAGAAAGCAGCAGAGACCCAAACAAGAGAGTGACAGAGTGAAGTTTTACATGAAAGTCGCCGATATTTGGGGGCGGCTACCCGTGCGTGGTTTTACTTACAGCTCAGAATACAAAGAGGAAAAAGCCAACTGATTGAAAGTAGCTGGTGTGTTTGCACTGAATTGAGCCCTCATCGCGCAGATTAAGATAAGATTATCACCATTAGATCATCAGAAACATTTCAATGAGTGCTGACGGGCGTCTTTACCCTTTTCGTTGAAATGGCAAGACATTTGAGCTTTTTATTTCCCTCAATGGAGTCAGCAGCGCTGACCTTTTAACTCCAGCCCTCCTCCCCTCTCTCTATCTCTATCTTTCCCTCTCTATCTCTCCCTCTCTCTCCTTCTCCCTAAGGCTAGACTTACCCTTTGACAGAGGATCAGCGGTAATGTTGCTCTTCAACCTAACACTCAGCGCAGACAACAGTAACATGAGCCGTGTGTTGAAGAGCTGAGTCTTGCACCTGTCTTGTAATATCCCCCTCAATAAAGACACTTCACATGGCGGAGGTTGATGCGCCTTCAACTCTGCGCCTGTCTGATTTCCTCCTCATGCGGCATAAACGTCTTAACTTCCTGTTTAATGACTATACAGTTGAACAGTGACCCTCAGCTCCACCAGCTGCGAGATTTATCCAAAGAAAATTTGATTTATTATTACTTATTTATTTTATGATTGTCATTTAATGTAGACTAGAGTTGTGGAGTTGTGGAGGAAAAAGCCAACAACTTGGTCTCTAGTAAACTCTGTAGATACTGTAAACGCATGCTGGTCTGTCTTCATGTTATTACAGATGATACATTTAAATAGCTCATTGAAACAAACTCAATAAATGTAAGCAACGGACAATGGGAATAAATGGTATATGCCTTTATTGCAGTAGGGCACAGACAATTCACATAGTCTGTCTGAGGGTGTAGCTGATGATAATTCACAAGATCATACCTGCTTGCTGCAAAGAAGACAATCTCTAAAAAAAATAACTCAATATGAAATATGTTGATTTATTGATCTTTATTATCATGCAATGTAGAAGTTGGATAAAATGAATAGCATCTCTTGTTACATTTCATACAAGCAAATAATTGGACAGCTTCATGTTTCTTCAGGTGTTTTGTGCAGCTGCAGAATAAAGGCTTTGTGATTTATCATAGATTTATGTTTTCACCATTTAGCCCTGCCGGTAATAAAAAAATCCTCTTTGCCATATAATGGGTTAAAGAATGGATTCTGATGCGTGACCATTAAACATATGAAAATGTGGGTGTTAGGGTTAGCTGTTGAAGAGCAGTGGGTGCAGAGTTGTTGCAGTCACTCATATGAAATTACGTTCAGATCTTGTCGAGTACTATCTGCCTTTACTCACAGTCCCTTCCTTCAACAAACAGCAGAACATACTGCTGCATTTCTCACTTATCTTCCTCATCATCATCATCATCATCATCACCATCATCACTCTGTGAATATAAAGCCTGCATGTGCGCATGTGTTTTATGCAGCTCCTTAAATATGTTTCTTTAAATATGTGTTTGCATGTGTCAAAAGCCCACATTAGATCAGGTTTCTCTGTGTACACCAGGCCGTCTGAACGATGTGGCATCCCGGCCAGCGCCCCCTGCTCTGGTGGCCGACAGCCCAGACCCAGAGGCCCCTCTCTCACTTTTCTCTCTCGTCCTCCCCTGATCCTTATCCAGCCTGGCGTGCCCTTTGCTTTATATGGCCTGCTGGCCTGCTCCACAGCCACAGCCCCCTCCATGCCACCACAGCTCTGAAATACAGTTTCACCACACAGAATCATATCATCAGCATGTGCTCCAGGAGACAGCTGCATCAAATTGAGCATGTTTTCTCCAGTTGGCGGTGGCGAGCTTTTTCCCAACCTTCGATGCTGCCAGGCCTGTAAGCAGCGAAACTCTGTTACAGTTTGTTTTATTACCATCCAAGACAAAACTGTGTGCGATGGCAGTGAGACAAAATTGCATGGTTTTTGGAAAGCAAATTGACTGTGTATAACATGCATTATATGCTTTGGACCAATGTAAACATTTTCCAGTCCTCTTGTTGGCAGCTGTAATCTCTCATTTTGTTCTGTTCAGAGATATACAGTAGATGATCTTTTTTTGGATTTATATTTCAAGACTACATTTCTGTATTCAGTGTTTCATTTGAAATACATGCTTACTTCAGATAACTCAGACATTTGACTGTTATTAACCAGCCATAGTTCCTCTCCAGTCTCCTGCTTTTTTATTTATCTTGAAATTACCCAGGTCTAATCACCATTTTATAACAGCCATTACTCCTTCAAGTGTGATTTTAATGGCTCTGGAGTCTACCGCTCTCAGTAGGGGTTTACAGTCAATGAAAGTGGAGACAGTTTGACCTAGTTCATTACACTGGAGGCAGTGAGACAGGCAGGAAGAGACAGGAAGGCATGTATGTCCTCTGGGGCATTTCACAGCTCTCTTTACATTAAGAGGTCTTCATAGTATCTCAGTGAAGTATAGTGACCTCAGCTGACTCGTATCTGAGGTTGATGCCAGAATGTACAAACTCACACACATACAAGAATATAAACTTACAGTAAACACAGACATTTACAGATATTTCTTTGATTATTAGTTTCCACAATGGCAGACTTGTGGCACAAACAAATCAAGTTAACATTAAGCAAGCAGGCAAAGTGAACCACTGAGACTTGTAACAGTCACACAGAAATGGAAGGGTTGCTACCTGACACAACACTGACTTTGGTTTATTGGGGGCCCTCTAATGGTTAACAGAGTGCAATGCACCTTAAGTTTCATACATCACATACAGTACATTTCCAGTAGTTATTCATCATCAGAGCAAAGAAAGCCCACCTTGCACCACGCTGGTTAGAAAGCAGCCAAAACCACCCTCTTGCTGTAATTTCATAAGCTGTTAAGCCCCTCTGCTAATATTCAGCTGGAAACAACTGCTGCTGGTAGTTGAGCAAAGCATGAAGGTGCTAAACTGATGGTTTATACTTCAGAGCTGTGATAAAAGCAAAATACATTCTCTCTCTTTCTGTGTAAAACCACAAAATGTGGATTATCTACTTCTAATATTTCATGTTTGCCTGTTTGGTAGTAAAATAGTGAATACAGAAGAGTGACTAATGTCGTCTCGCCGTTCACGATCTTGCCAAATCTGCATTTAACTATTCAGCATTCTGACAAAATGTCATTTCATACCTACTTTTCTTAACTGGCACATCAGCTTAGCCTGACTGTGCTAGCTCTGGCATTAATAATTCACTGTGCATAATAAGTTGATGCTCCAGAGTTTGTTCTCATTGATAGTATTAGCCGAGGTGAGCATTCTTGGCCAGACTTTGTGACGCCTGCACACCAGCATAAAGTGGGCTTTAATTGCCCATAATCTCTGTCGTTCCCTTTCCTCTCAGTGCAAGTCAACAGCATATAGCCCACGAATGCCAGACCTTAGCAAGGCATTTTTAGCTCCCTATCAGCGCGATTCTCTCAACAAGGAATGCTTGGAAGTGATTTTCGATTCTGAACTCTAAGGACTTTGGGGGTTTTTACACCCAGTTGGATTTCAAGTCAGCACATTCATGTTTGTATTCAATAGCAAAACAAGAGCTTTACATCTCAGACCTATTGTTTCCCTTCATAAGACAAACTTA